ACTGTACCAGCTTTTGGATGATGTCAACAAGGATTGCTAGCCATGCAGCCTGCAAATGTTGCCAAAAATCATCCAGATTGCTGGGTTTGGTTTTCTGTACTTTTCTGAAGAGCTCCTCCTACAAATTTTCAATGATGTTCAGGACAGGACTTTGTGGAGGCCATTCAATAGCATTGGTACGAGCATGTTTGAGATATTCCATTACATACATGATTTTCATAACAAAAAAAATTAAAAAATAAATTTTTCTGAGACACGAATCGATGTATATTATTCATAAGAACAGAGTAAAAAAAAATGTTTTTTGATTTTGATGATATCTTGAGGTTCCTCTTTGGATTCTAAATTCTTGACTGGTCCTAATGTTTTTGATTTTTTTTTCTAAATAATATCAACCTTGGACTCAAAAAAAAATCTGCTTGTTTTATAATTAATTATTGCCCTTTGGCAGTCACTAGCCATATTATATATATATATATATATATATATATATATATATATATATATATATATATATATATATATATATATATATATATATATACATATATATATATATATATATATATATATATATATATATATATATATATAATATATATATATATATATAGTGCTTGAAGAGGAGAAAAAAAGGAAACAGGTTAGTATTCGCTAAATTAGAAATACAATCCCGCCTAATAATTGTTATATATATGTTATACATATATATGTTATATATAAATATATATATATATATATATATATATATATATATATATATATATATATATATATATATATATATATATATATATATACATATATATATAAACGTACCTTTTATTAAGTTGTATAGCACACCAAGCATTAATCTAAAGTTTAAAGCTATGGGATAACCTATAGCTTTAAACTTGCAAACTGGAAAAAGTGTAAATTGGCATTAGTGCGCCAAACAGGTTTGCAAACATTACGAATAGGCATAAGTGCAAAATTTGATTAAGTACAAAACAGTTACAAAAACAGGCAGAAGTGTGAACTAACATAATTGCGTGTAATAAATTTGCAGTTTGGAATTATGCTAAATTTTTCAAATTTATTTGGCACACTTATGCCAGTTCGCATTTATGTTGTTTGCACTTTTACGAGTTTTTGTAACTGCTTCACACTTATACCAGTTCCCACTTATGGAAATTCACACTTATGCGAATGTTTGTAAATCTATTTAGCCCACTTATGCCAATTTACACATATGCCAGTTTGCACTTATAGCAGTTTGCAATTATGCCAATGTTTGGAATTCTTTTTGTGCAGTTATGCCCATTTGCACTTATGCCATTTGGCATTGTGTCAGTTTTTGTAACTGCTTTGCACATGTGCTAGTTTGCGCGTATGAAATTCACGGTTATTCAGTCATCCCATTATGGTAAAACGGCTAACGTAGAGCCATGCATGGGATTTGCATTATGGATTGTAAGATGGGAGTAATATCATTATAAAATTAAACAGAGTATTTATAGGAATGCACTTTTAATTTACTAACCTCTTCATCATAGCTATCACAAGTTTTTGACAGTTCTTACCACCAATATTTTGAACTCTTTGTTTCTAATAGAAAGAAATAATGGAAATCTGAAAATTCCTAATTAAGTAGTAAAAATTATATATTGTAAAGAAAATTAAAAAAAAAAGAAAAATCTGTCAAATCGGTATTTAGCAATTTACAACTGCAGAGATACTACAGAGTTGCTAGATGAAACATTGTCAAGTGCTGAGTCAAACTTATCAAATTCTATTATGCTGTTCGTTTCAGTTACTACTTCTTGTTCACACTATTTTATATTAAATTTTTTGCATCCTCGGGTTTTTATCTCATTTAAGAGAAGCAACACACAATATTGAAAGTGTAAACAAATTTACACTTATTAAATTTTGCATAGTCTTAACTAAACTATGTAAATAAATAAATTTAAAATACATAAATTTAACAATTTAACAACTTAACTGGTCTAACCCTAAATCAGAGAAAAACTAATAGACAGTGAAATACCTAATAGTGGCAATGCTATATTATATATATTAGCGTTTTTCTCAGATTTCGGGTTAGACAAGAAAGATTGTTCTATAGATTTATAGTTTTTATAATATTGAAAAATGGATTTGATGAAGATTATTTAAAGTTAAAAATGGAACCTCATCATTTTAATGATGTTTTTTAATATTGACAGTCATGTTAGCATTTTACAACAAACATTACATTATTATATTTAACTAAAGACTTACTTGCTTGAGATAATGGAAATCCATAATGTTTACCCTTTTTATTTAAAGATGATGAAGATTGATGTGTCTTAAAATGAATCTCTTGGTCATTTTTGTTTATTATTTTTTGACCTACACAACACAAACATAGAAAATATTTAAATTTCATCTAACAACTTGTCTTTTTATGTAGCAATTTTACAATTAAAAAATTTTTACAAATTACTTTACAGATTATTAACTTTATAAGTAAAATAGGGTATATAGTATGGTATATAATATTATAGGTTTCATACTGCTAAACATTTGGTAATAACACCAGAATATCATTATAGAATAAAAATTTTAAAATGACATTTTGAAGTAAGTCACTTTCTTTTTTGAAACAAATCATCATATTTTTTCTTTTCAGCCTTTTTAACTATAGTAATTCCTTTATAAAAACCACTGATATTATTATTTTTAATTTTTAGAGAATTTTAAAACTCTGAGAATGTTGTTCCCTTTTCTCAAATCCAAATAAATTTTTTTCGTTAAAAGCAGTTGATAATTAAGTAGAATTAAAAACTTAATCTAGTTTTTTTAAGCATTCAAGTTTACTCAACAATTAAGTTATTTAATAGAGTAAAATAATCTAGCTAACCACACCATTAAAACTTTTTTAATCATATCTACTTATTCAAATAGAAATACAAACACAACCTAGTTTCAACGAAGGCATACAACTTGAAACTAAAAATACTCCAATATATTTTCAAATTTAATTCTACAAGAAAAGAATACAAACACTTGGTTGATTTAAATATATACTAATTTATATAATTTTTATTTAAATAAATTAATTCGCCTAATTGAAGGTCACGCCATTATTTGCGTAAACATACTCTTTTAAATATTGCCGTGCTGTACGTTTAAAAAAAGGTTTTTTATCACGTAATAGTTGTACTTTAAAATAAAAGAAACTCTGAGATTTTTAATAACATTTAATAACATTTGTATTTAATATTTATTATTAATCATGTTATTATTAATAATATTTTCGTTTAACATCAAATTGATAACATTTATATCACATTGTAAATGCTGTTATAAATGTTAAAAAAACGTTTTAAAAACGTTTATAAGCTAACTGAGAAATTTCGTAAGTTAATAAAAAAAATAAAACGTTTAAAAAACGCTAAAAAAACGTTTAAATTAGCATTAAAAAAAAACGTTTGCAAAAAAACGTTTTAAAAACGATTGTATTGGTTCTTTTAACGTCCGACCGTAAATTGAACGGAATTAAAACGTTTTAAAAACGTCCTGTGCTTACTGGGATGCGTGTATCTGTATATATATGTGTGCGTGTGTGTGTGTGTGTGTGTGTGTGTGTGCGTATATTTGTTGGTGTATGTAATATATACATATGTAATATACATATACAATATTATTAAATGTGTGTATATGTGTTTATGTTTGTATATGTGTATGCATGTGTGCTATGTTATGCTATGTTTGTATATATGTATGTATGTGTGTATATGTATGTGTCTATGTATATGTACGTGTGTATATATACGTTTATTTGTGTATAGTATATAAGAATTTACATATATGGGTTTATATTAAGTTTGTATACAATTAATGTATACATACCTGTACTGAATACAGGGGGATATAAGTATATGTGTTTATATGTATTTGTGAACGTAAGTGTGTATCTGTGTTTCTATGTGTGCATTTGTCTGTGTTTGTATATGTGTGTATTTATGTGGCTAATAATAGTATTTTTTTTTATGATTATTGTAACTATTTTTATTTCTGTCATTTTATTTTTATTATAATCTATGTACTTTTATCATTGCGTTGTTGTTACTGTTACAACTACAACTTTTATTATTATCTTTATTAGTATTTTTACTCCTTCAACTTTTAATGTTTGTTTTGTTACTGCTGTGGATGAATAATATTACTATTTTTATTAATTAATATATTTATTAGCTTTTATTTACAAGGTTTTTACTTAAGATTAGTACATATACTGTTTGTAAACTTCTGTGAATGTAACAACTATTTCAGAATATGTATGAATTGAATTGAATTTAACCTCCATGTCAATGAAATTGTTTGTCCAAATATCAATCCCATAATGACTTGCGCTAAATAAAGAATATCTATTTTTAGATCCTTAACGGTACGCTCTTCCCGGCCTGTCAACCTAATTCAGAAACATTTACTTTATAAAAAAATATTTGTTACTTATTTATGTATTAATCATTTAAACTTAATAAACTATGTACTTGAGATACTTTTCTAATCCAGTTTCATAGATAAGTACTTAATCCCTTCTTCAGCAAAATTAAGTTTCTTCTAAAATTGGAACATATTACGTCAGGACAAACAATAAAACCTTCATTGTACTCAGGTCAAATATACTCTTTGATTTTATTTGATTTAGATGGTTGTACTTTTGATAACGATTTTGATATTCGTTTTTTTTTTCCTAACAAACTGCACAAACAGACTGCTTCAAATCAGCCGTTTTTACCGCTCTGTCGGTTTTGTGTGGCAACGCTGGATACCTGTCACCCGTAAAAAATTTAGAGTTCTACTAAAATAAACAGCGTCGTAAGGGTGCACTAAAAATTTAAAAAAAAAATACAATGTTTTTGGGGTTTACTTATTTATTTTTAATATAAAGAGTTGTATTATTTGATAAAACATATATGCTGCATTGTTATATATATATATATATATATATATATATATATATATATATATATATATATATATATATATATATATATATATATATATATATATATATATATATATATATATATATATATATATATATGTATATATATATATATATATATATATATATTTATATATATTCTTATATATATATATATATATATATATATATATATATATATTCTTTTATATATATATATATATATATATATATATATATATATATATATATATATTTTTAACATCTTTACTTCCAACAAGGCTGCAAGCAACCACTATAAGAGTTGGAAGTTACTGGAAGAGAAAAGACTAAATCTCTAGAGCAAGATAACGATTGACTGATGACTTAAAAGATTGGAAATTATATGAATCAGGAAAGCAAGATGAAGGAAGCGAATTCCAAAGAACTGATGTTCGAGGAAAAAAACTAGAAGAATAAGAGTTTTTGAAGCACTTAGGAACAGTCACAGAAAAAGGATGAGACTTAATTGAATGGCGAGTAACACGAGAATGAATTTTAGTAGATGGCACAAGGGACGCTAGCTCTTTAGAGCAGTGCCCATTATAGTATTTGTAGAAAAGAGAAAGAGAAGCAACATTACGACGATGTGACAAAGGTTGGAGATTGGCTGCCAGAGCAGGTCCAACTATGTTTACAATTCGTTTTTGCACCTTGTCTAAAAGAGAAAGAGCATCATTAGAAGATCCGCCCCAGATGTTGCAACAGTATTCCATACAGGGACGGATTTGATATTTATAGAGATAGAGAATAGAATCTGGAGTAAGAAAGTGTCGAGCTCGATAAAGAGATGCAACCTTAGCAGATGCTAATTTTGCAATGGATTTGATATACGGTTTAAAAGAAAGATCAGAAGTAAGAGTTAATCCTAGAAGATGAATGGTAGATGACTCATCTAGTACATTACCACTCATAAATATAGGAAGATCTAAATTATTACGATAACGATTGGCCGAATAAAATTGAGTTTTATCTGAATTAAAGTTCACCAGCCACTGTGAGCCCCATGCTGTAGCAGAAGTGAGATCCTTTTCAAGCTCAGATACCCCTTCCAAGCAATCAGAGAGTGTAGGCTTCTTATCATGACAAGAGTAAATGGTAGTGTCGTCAGCGAATAATGCCACCTTAGATGTGAGAATATCTGGAAGATCGTTAATGTAAATTAAAAAGAGTATAGGGCCAAGGATTGAACCTTGAGGAACCCCTGAAGTTACAGGATGTGAAGAAGAGTGTTGTCCATCGAGGACAACTTTTATACTACGATTGGAAAGAAAGGACTCAATAATCTTAAAGACGTTACCAGCTACACCATAAGAAGAAAGCTTATGGAGAAGACCAGCATGCCAAACTTTATCAAAAGCTTTAGAAATGTCAAGTGCGATAGCCTTAACCTCTCCACCTCTATCTAATGCACGGTAAAACCTATCGGTTATTACTGTTAGCACATCAGCCGTAGAACGAGAAGACCAAAATCCATATTGATGATCAGAAAGTAAGTTATTTGATTCAAGATGAGAGATCAAGTGTTTGTTGATTAAAGATTCAAAAACCTTGCTTATGACAGGAAGAAGACTAATGGGACGGTAGTTAGAAGAATCAGATCGCTCTCCGGAATTTTTGAAAATAGGGATAACAGATGCTGCTTTCCAGCATGATGGAAAACAAGACTCTGATAAGCACTTGTTAAATAGTTTAGAAAGTATGGATGAAAGCTCCGGAGAACACCTCTGCAAGACTACAACAGGAATGTTGTCAGGACCACAAGCTGTTGAAGAGTCTAAGCAGGAAATTACTTTAGATACAGAAGCTGAAGTGATGCGAATGTCAAGCAAGGGATCAACCTGTTTGACGGCTATGTCAGGTAAAACGCAACTAGTGGAATCAAGAGATGATATTAATGAAAAGTTCTTAGCAAACAATTCAGCTTTGTCTTTAGGTGAGGTGACAAAGTCTGAACCATACAAGAGAGAAGGAATAACAGATATGCCCTTATTATTGATACTGTTAAAGATTCTCCAGAAGACTCGAGAGCCTAATTTTTGTGATGAGATACGAGATAATATGACCTGGGAAAAGCGAGTTTTGGCGTCAGACAAAACCTTTTTACAATGGTTTCTGGCGATAGTGAACAGATGTCTGTTTTCTGGAGAATTGTTTTGCTGATAGATATGAAAGTAACGGTTTTAATTAGAAATTGCTGCAGCGCAATGTGAGGAAAACCAAGGAGAAGAGTGAGACTTGACCTGGAATCGTCTAGAGGGAATAAAAGATTCCATGCCAGCCTGAATCCACGAAGTTATGTAAGAAGCACATTTGTCAGCAGGAAGACGAAAGATTTCTACCCAAGGGCCATCACGAAGAAAATCACGGAAAGAGTCCCAGTCAGCTTTAAGGTAGTTGTATGTGGTACGATGATAGGGGGATTCATATATAGTTGTATGTGGTACGATGATAGGGGGATGAAGTAGAAGAATTTGATAATAGTTTTAGAGAGATCAAACCGTGATCAGAAGTACCTACCCAGTGGGCACCCGACGTCAATCCGACGTCGGATTTACGTGCGATTTTCATCAGCGATGTCAAAAGACCTATTCCGACTTTGTTCCGATGTCAGTAAAATGACGTCGGGCGATGTCTTTGTCTCAACATCCCCTGACGTCGTTTAGATGTATTTTGACGTTGTTCCGACATCTTGTAAAAGACGTACAAAAAACGTCGCAGTACTGACATCGATCCAACGTCGATAAAAAGACGTCAAGCAACGTAAAAATATTAACGTACTCTAATGTCTTTTGACGTCTTCCGACGTCAATCCAACGTCCTTAAAACGACGTCGAAACAACGTTGTAAGACATCGCTGATGAAAATTTAATCCAAACACAACAATATGTGTGCAATTGCGCTCTTTAATAAATATGTAAACTAAGCGTGTTTTTTATTAATGGAAAGAAGTTTGAATAATGGTTGATAAAACATCATGAGGTTTTGTATGATGCACTAGCATAGTTTTTTAACTATTAACATTTTCGAGTATACATTTTTTATAATATATAACTATTCATTTTAATATTTATATAATAATTAAACAAAATTATTTCTTATCAAAGAAATTATTCCCAAATAGCTACAAGTATAAATTACTAAATAAACACATGATTTAATATGATCCTGTTGTGTAGTGGTAAGCGCGTAGGATTTAGTTTCGATATACCGAGGTTCGATTCCTGCCTATGGCAACGTTTTTTAGTTTTCAAAAAACACGTTGGATTTACATCGGAATGTCGACGTCGCGCGATGTCAATTTATCTGACGTCAAATAACATTTCCATTTCCAACGTAAACCCAACGTCGATCCGACGTCGAGATCCGACGTCGCTCGAAGTTCGTTCGACGTCGAAATGCCCACTGGGTAAGGGTGAATGTGGAGAAATTGAGCACTAACTAGGATCCAAAACAAGACATAAGTCGAGTAGAAAAGGTAAATGATTAGGGTTGTCTGGAAAACGAGTTGGAAAGTTGACTATTTGAGTTAGAGATTGAGAAAGGCAAAAGTTGAGGGCCTTAACGCCAGCAGAGTCACTGACACTAGAGCCAAGCCAATCGGTGTGATGGGCATTAAAGTCACCAACAACGACGATATTGGCCGATGGATAAAGAGAGAGGGCTTGGTCAATTTGATCAGTAATAACATCAAGAATAGTGCAATCTTGGGATAAAGGAGAGCGATATAGAACAAAGAGAAAGGCGATAGAGTGAAGTTGTGCTAAACGAAAGCACATAAATGAGTAGTCTGTAGATTCAAACCTAGTTTCACGACAAATGGGTGAGTTCTTACGAATGTAGATGCCCAGGCCAAGCATGTGATTATTGGAGTCTTTACGAATTAAAGGAAGATAACCATCAACACTAAGATCACAAGATGGGACAGCCGAACTCAAATTAGTCTCACAAAGAGCAAGTAGGTCTGGTGAACTTTGCAAGAGATAAGACTCAACAGAAGAAAAGTTACTTCGAAGACCACGAATATTAGTAAATGATAGGTTTAGAGAACTTGGTGATGACGATGGTTTTTTGTGTTTTTTTAGTTTTAGGTACTTTAGTCATTTTAAATTTATAAAGAACTTGACTCAAGTATAGATCGTACTCAGTACACTATTTAACAACTAAGCAATAGCCTCATTACTATTAATAAACCCTAAGCCGTAACAAAGGGCTCCAAATGTGGCCTCTGCAATGCACACCAAAAGTACAAACAGGGACACCATCCATGCGCAACATGGCACTGTTAGTACTCTGCTATTTTTCGGCTGTTGATGGAATCAGCCTCTCTGAGAGCTACCACAGAGTTCGGGAAACCTGACTACCAGCCGGCCTCAGAACCATAAAACTGAGTTTTAGAGCTGTACCCTCATTAGGAGATAATAGAATGAGTTGCCCAGTCATAAAAATAGAGACACAAGCAATATCCACGCATTGAGTCAAGAAGATCCAGCGTTCAACATCCTAAACTGGAAACAATGTATTAAAAATACATCTGTGCCAGCCTAATAGATGAGGAAGGGGTGCGAGGCTGGTCAACAGATAGAATATGTTTACCCCTTAAGTCTTTGCCTAGGAGGCCTTCTACAAGACAGCAGCTGGATGCATGTAACATCTGCCCAAGATGAGTGTTTTTATCGAGACACCATCTCTAGCCTTTACTCAACCAAGAGCCCCAAGGCAGGGGGTGTTTTAATTCGGAGTTAACTTCTCCTAGCCTTTGCCTAAAAAAGCGTATCCTACAAGGCAGCAGGACATGGAGCAGGTTGTACTGGGTTACATGTTACTAGTAGTATATATATATATGTATATATATATATATATATATATATATATATATATATATATATATATATATATATATATATATATGTATATATATATATATATATATATATATATATATATATATGTATATATATATATATATATATATATATATATATATATATATATATATATATATATATATATATATATATATATATACCCAGCAAATCATAGACGTCTTTTAGACCGTCTAAAATTGGTCTAATTTGTATATATTGCCGATACGTATATTTTAGACGTATATTAGAGATCGAAAAGACGTTTGATTCTAGAGATACAATTTTTGCTCTGTTTTAGATGCATATTAGATGCATAAAATAGATCGTGCTTAGATAATTTTTTTTTTCATCTAAACTTAGAGGTCTATAAGATGTCTTTTATAGATTTGTTATAAAAACAAGAAAAAAATTTTAACTAATTTTACGGAGCGATAATTATAAATGACCGCCATTTAAAAACCCTGCGGAAACTTATTTCGAAAAAAGCATGAAGATTTTAACCTATGGAAGACATTAATGATTATTTCTTTTGATAAATTTTAAATAATAAAATAACATGCTATTATAGTTCACAAAATATTTCGATGATTTGATGGTTAGCATGTTTGCTAAAATCTTTGTGATTTGAAATTTATTTTGCAGAAATATTACAAAATTAATATTTCCAAGTTGATATTTTTATTTCTAGAATAAAAGATAATGTAATTAAAATATATGTATATATATATATATATATATATATATATATATATATATATATATATATATATATATATATATATATATATATATATATATATATATATATATATATATATATATATATATATATATATATATATAAAAGTGTTTTTCAATAACACAAAAGATTGTTTTATTGGTTGTGCACTTATCGTTTTTATCGAGGAACCAAGATTTATTTATGTCTTTTACAAATAGGGCATACAAAAAGAGACGCAGTAGACGTGTCCAAAAAGAATATTAAAAAATACTAGAATTTTCGTCAGTACATATAAAAAAAAAATCGAATGTTGGAACTTCTAAAAAAAATGATTTCGTATCTTGCAAAAATCTAAAAGAATATTTTGACCATCGTGAGTCATCGATTTTGTACAATGAATACTCTTATGACCAAAAGCTTAATGAGTATAAGCATAACCCAACTTTAAAGGAAAGTTTTTCTGCATGTTTTTCAAACCAAGTAATTATGCACTAAAAAAGTGGATTGACAAAGAATAGCAACAAATTTATTGTCCCAAAAAAAAACTACAATCATGCACTAAAAAACAACCTTTCGTCAACAAAAGAATGGCACAAATTTCCATTGATAAAATGTAAGATAACAGATATTCAGTATCTAACTTGTTTTGTGTTTTTTTTAAAGGTAGTTTAATTACTTTTTTGTAGCAAAATGTTTTATAATTAGATTCATTTTCATGTTGTGAAGAATACAACTTTCTACATCAGATGAGATATATGTTAAAGAAAGCATTAAAAATAAGAATAACAAATCATACCGCTCTTCATTGCCAGAACCTCCGCCACCTATTATGAATAAGCCCAATGCTAAAAGTATAACACAAATATCATAATTTTTTCTTAATGGTTTTTAAACTGAAATAGATTCTTGTTTAATTTGGTCTGAATAATATCTTTTTTATGTATTACTAAGATTTTCCTTTTATTTAACTATTTGAGTGTCCTATTATATGTAATGTTGTTAAATTGGTTACATATATTTATATGATTGACAACATTCTATTGTATTAAATAATCCTTTAATCAACTTGATATGAAAATTGAAAATTGATTGAAAGCATGCTGAAATTGTTTGAATTCAGAAATTGAAAGAGTACAAAATTGGTTGAAAGATTAAATTAAGTAACAGGTATGGTTGAGGGATTATTTATAGTTCTAATTATAATTATTTCTTTTGAATAGAGTTGTTATCAGATTCATAGATTGAAGATGTTTTTTCTTCACATTTTATTGATGAACACAATAAAACCAAGCAAAGTTCACATTGTCAAAGAGTTTCAAGTTTTAATGTGAGTAGTTTTGGTTTTTACACCACTGAATAATAATGTGGAGGTCTTTTTTATTAATTTGTTTTTGTTTTAAAATAATTGTAAAAGATAGGTATAAAAGAATAGAAATGGATTATTTATAATATTGTGATCCGATAAATGTGTGAAGCATTTTACCTTTAGTAGTTAAACAAAATTCTTTAATATCGTAACTTTTTACAGGATAAAGTTTTAGCTGATTAAAAAAGTAGGTTTTCCAAAATATTATGGCAACTTCTGCGATGGAGTAATTAAAAAACTTACATGTCTTTTTGGAATTTTAGTTTGAGTTACTCAAGCATAACTTGAATTTTAAAGTTCATTTTTCATTGTTTTGCTATTTGGTTGTATGAGCTAAATATGTTAATCAATCTATTTATTCTTGTTTGTAGAGATGCAAAATGCTATTCTCAACGAGCTTGCAGAAATAAAAGTTCTTTTAAAAGAAGTTATAGAAATTAAGTTTCAGGCTACTGGGGTGAAGTTGCTAGAATCAGTGGATGAAGTGGTTACACTGGATAATAAACCAAAAGATAAAACCGAGTATACTAGTTAGGTATTATCTAATTA